GGTTATCTATCTCAAATGACACCTTATTTGATCTACGTAAAAAATAGGAAGGAATTATTAGTGAGTAGAAATTCGGCCGTGTATCTGTTATCACTCGTCGCTTCAGTCAGTTATATAGAGCAGCGACTCGTCTTTTCCTTTGGCGTTCGTCACTTCCGATACGGGAAACCTGTATTACTCAGCTATCGTAGCAATGATCTCTGTGTTAAAAATATATTTCGAATGTGTTTAACCAGCTCTAACACATATGTGATAATGACTGGCACCAATATTGTCCTTTAATGGTGTGTGTCGATTTCAAGCAACATCTGATTTAATACAGTGTATTATGAGAATCTCACATTATGGTTTGAAGCAAATGTCTAACACTGACTTTCATTCCTGCTGGGATTTTGAGCTACATTATAATTAAGATAAATTTAACATACCTATGTGTACGATATTAGCTAGCATGTACTCCATCCCAAGGTAGCCAACTTTAATTATATTGATATCCTGACATTTACTAGTTTCATAACGATTCGTTATAGAATCTGATAAGCTGACTCGTCATCCTACGTAAAATTAATAAGTAAGACATGTGTATCGAACGTTATCCTTTTGTAAAAGCAGTGAGAACAGTACGTCTCATGCTTTTATATCGATCATTTGTTCAGCCAGCTTTGCAAGTTGAATGATATTGTCAAGGTTTGAAGGGAGGGGCGTATCCAGGAATTTTTGCAGGAACGGGGTTACCATCATCGTCTCCAAATTACGGAGGCATTGATGCAAAGCATTAATTGTGATATCATTATGCCTATATCATTATCCCACCAACTGATGATAAAGGATAAAGCACACGACCGTGGCACTTTTCTCATAAAAGGGATCCGCCCGTGGAAGACTATGTAACCTATTAATGGTTTAAATATGACTAATCACTGTCGGTCATTGATTGCAATTAGGTTGCCTAGGGTACGAGTCGTAAATATGCGATCAGACCAGCCATCTGATATGACTATGAATAAAAGTCACGCTATCAAACATGCCGTCTACTCTATACTTTCTTTACATGCGATGGGTGTGGTATACTTGATGTAATAGTGCGTGGTATGTGAGTCAGTGTATTTTTAATTGCCTAATTTTACCATTGTTTACGGTCATAAAGCTTTAGTTTACATGAAATGAATAAACCCATCAATCTCATAAGATACTAACATGCAGTTATAATGTTTGTATATCACCATAGCTATATATGTACTTGTCATATTGGATACATTCACTGCTAGCTACTGAGAGAGAGAGAGAGAGAGGGAGAGGGGGGATAGGGAGAGAGAGGGGGGGGGGGAGAGAGAGAGAGATTTTGTATTTATGCAAAAATACAAATGGCGCACCGGGACGTTAAAACATTTTTTTATCGTGTAGTATAATGTCCTGATGGCAATTCAACTTTTGCATAAATATACATAACTTCAAATCCTTAATCAAGCACAGATTATATAGTAGTAATGATCTGATAAGAAAAGAAACCCCTAGTGTAGGCTATACAGGAACAGTTTGAGCTAGAATACGCATGACATTTTATTTTCTTATATCTTCAGTTTGCCTAGAATTAACCTTTTAAGAATAAGAATTTAATGAGTTTTATTCAAAAGAAATATATTATTATTTAAAAACTACTAGCAAATACCCTTGTCAACTCATATATCTTGACAGTGTGAAGAAGACATTTACTACCTATATGATTTATTAAAGTACTGTCCCGTCACAATTCTCCTCGTGTATCTATTTCAAATTCATTAAAAATGCATACGTGTAAGAGTTAAGTCTAATGATAAAAGGTTTTTATTATTTTTAGCTTCAAATAATATTTAGGTTATTTATAGGCATTTATAGGCTTTTTTTCACATTCCAAGATATAATCAACGCCCGTCTTTGTTAGCCCAGACGGAGCAGAACAGTAGGACATTAAACCTCATTTCAATTTATTTCTTTCATAATCAACTCTCTGGAACATCGGATGGCCATAATATTGAATGGATTAGAACCGCATCGCCATTTATTAATTTAAAATTAACATTGATAATCGGGACATTGTTTATTATCGTTGCATTGGTATTTGACAATTGGGACAACCTTGTCAAAACATCGATCACTCATAACTTTGCTATGAATAAAGTAATTGTATTGAAATTTTTAATATATTCATTTTTCATTATATATTTTCGAACTATCAGCTCTTATAGAATGTAAGCTATAAGTTGATATACTACGGTGAACTGTTAGTGCCATGCGTTACATTTTCTTGTAATTTAAACCTCATATGAGAAAGATTCCCTCTGCAATACAATGAACAATTGTTTCGCAGTGGAAACTATGATAAAACAAAAACCCGTGGAAAAACCTTTTCTCCGCGGTGTAAACCTTTTCCCCGCAATAGAAACCTATTCTCCGCGGAGGAATCTGTATATTTATCTTATGGATAAAATTGATAGCCCGGGAGTAGGCACAATCGAATAATGTCTTTAATGCAAAAATAACAGCATATCCTGATCTACTGGTATATTTGCCAACTAGTATTACTAATATTTCAATTAAATTACTCGGTGTGTTCGGGTGTTATAATTATCGCATTGTGGATAATGCCGGTACCCATGAACCGGCTGCTGACATTTATGCTTTAAACGTGCATTATATAAGATTTAGATAAAGAGCTGGTCGTTCTTGCTATTAATAGTTCCAAAATAGATAATGGAAAATGAATATTTTGAAAATGTCATACAAATTACTTTATTATGAAGGCTTGACAAGATGTAGCATAGATTGTTTAGTATCGTAACAACGATACCTGTTATTCGATGCTTAGCCTAGCTTCCCATTTTTAAATTAAAGTAGCTAAGTCTCTAACTCAATTTCATCCAAAGTCTTGAACATAGAAAACACGAATTATTTTTCAATTTAAACCAACATTGATGTTGTGATCTTACCGGGAAAAGAGGGGCTTCTGATATCCAATATTTAAGACAAAATAAACATTTTACCATTGGTACGCGAATCGTGTACCATAATGCGTTTCAGCGCCATTTGTAACAAGAGACTCGAAGAACGTGGCTAGACATATTCCACAGGTCATGTCAAACGGTGTCACTCATATTCTTATTTGGAGAGCCTTCGCAATAAATAATATCGGTGTAGACTAGAATAGCCAGATGATAGAGATTGCCATTCGATTGAGACTCTGGCGTATTTCGCCGAACATAACTGATTAGAAATTACAGTAAAAACAGAAACGAATGAATGTAAATCAGTTTATATACACTCATATTACATTATTATATGCGTTGCGACCCATTTGTGTCAATTTCTAGGTACCAAATATTAGCGATTTAGCTCCTTTAAATCCTTAAAATGGCGACCACGTTTAATCAGTAAATATTTCGCCATTTTTAAATTAAATCATTAATTAATTAATTAATTGAGAAAACCATATTCTTGAAGTTACGTAAACCATGGTTTCTTTTGAGATTACCTTATATCTAATGTATGTAGACATCTCTTCTCATTTGTAAATTGTGTATGCTTGATAAATGCTATTAAAGTCTTGAAAATAAAAGAGAAGTTGCAGCCAAAACTGTTCATGGTGCCACCATTCTTGCACCGTAGTCAGTGTTGACCTCCATGGAACTAAATATTTAATATAAATTGGATCATTTTTGAGAAACAGGAAATGTTTTACGGATGGGATAAAAAGAAAGATCTCAGATTGGCCATATCTCTGTTATTTGTCAACGGATTTTCGTCGGGTTTTCATTTTTGGATTCTTTGGACAAATCCCATAAGGGTTTTGACTGACGGTTTTTCAGAAGTTCACTCGATTAGATTAGGGTTTTTTCAGTGTTTTGTCGACATTCAAGATGGCGTATCTCCGTTAGTATTTGAGGTAAAAATTTGAAACTTGATAGGAATACGGAACACATTGATTTCTTAAGAAATTGCGTACTGAAATTATTTATGAAGGCTTCCTGAAACTTCCGGAAATTTCCGAGGCCTCCCTTTTTTTCTCGAACATAAATAATTTTCTCCATTTTAAAAATAGACTAAAAATGATATATGGTGGTGTAAGCCCCAGATATTTTTTTCATTTTCAGAGACCTTGCTCGATAACATTTTCAACCGTTTAGCCGCAAATTTGGATTTTACAAAAAATCTTCAAATCGATATTTAGCCGCCATTTTGATTCCCATTTTCGCAATTGTTTTTGGATTTAAACCTACTCCAAATAACAACAATCCTTAGGGAGCCGATTTTTTAATTTGAAATTGAATTTCACTTTGAAATTTTGTCTACCGCGGAGAAAAGGTTTACACCGTGGAAAAAATCTTTCTACCGCGGAGAAAATGTTTACACCACGGAGAAAATGTTTACACAGCGGAGAACACTTTATACCGCGGAGAAAAGATTTCTACCGCGGATAAAAAAATTTTCATCGTTTTTTGAAGCATCATTGCGAAACAATGGTTCATTGTAATGCAGAATGAATCTTTCTCATATAAGGTAAATTACAAGAAGAATGTATAAATCAACGCATGACATTAACAGGCCACCGTAATATTAATTCTTCACCTATAACAATAGTCGGCAAACAATATTTAACTGTGTGACTGATTGACTGATACTATACTCAGGTATCAAGACACATGTTATAATGACTTTCGTTTCGCTTCATGGAGTACCATGTGTGTTTTTCAAATGTGCAAACTTTTCGTCGGGTCCAGACAAGCATTAATGCATTCTAAAAAAATATTGATAATTTGATAGTTCCTAATATGGCGTTATATTATTACCTGTGATGAAAAGGGAAAGAAAGGGTCAGACGCGGACATTTTGGAAAAACAGTCTATAGACATTAATCGATTGTACCGAGAATTTCTTCGTGTATATGGATCAGTTCCACTGCCTTTAATTCGTTCGTGTATTTGCTGTCAATGTTCATTCCACAAAATTAAAATTCATCAACTCACCTAACCCTGCCCTTCCTTTAGGTAAGGTTTTCGTTGTTTACCCGAGTCACTCGAGTCGACACCAGACCGTTCACGTTTTGAATCAGTCGCATCACGTGACTAACCCGTTTACTCCCCGTTGAGCGGAGAGTAAAAGGGTTTGTCACGTGACAAAATGGCGTCCTATACGCAAAAAAGCCTGTCTCTCGATCACATACTGACATCGTAACTGTTTTGATGTCATGTGACTACTCGAACTACTCGGACCGTTCGGGATGTTTCACCCGGGTAAACTCGGCAATGGAGTCGACTCGAGTGACGCGAGTAAACGACGAAAAGCTTACCTCAGTCTTTCTTTAAATGTTTCATTCATAGTCAAAGTCAGTCATGACGTTGAACAAAAATGGACTATTCGGGGTGAATGTAAAATTCCTTTGTCAGTCGTTCGCGGAAACATATTAATAAGTGGTTTTAATAATCGCCCTTTCCTCCTAACTTAACAAAAAAATATAAGCGAGATAGATAAGTTTTTAACATTAATGTTTGAAAAAAGACACATTTTTCTTCTCATGTTCTTCCTATCAAGCAAAATGAACTCTTCCCGTGTATTGTTATCTGTCAGATTAATTGTATTATGGCTCAGTGCTTTATCATAAACTTGAGCGGTCCAGCATATACAACGGCATATGAATAGACATACAATACAAAGAAATGGTTTTAATGTCCTACTGTTCTGTAAGGACAGGGTCAATGAAGACTCACTGACCCACCTCTTGTCCTAGTATTAAACGTTTTCTTCTTTGTACAAATATCTGATAGTTGTTGTTAGTTAGTTGTATTTTACGTCCGCTATTATTATATATACTGTTGTGTCACGTGATTGCTGGCTGATGGTATCACGTGAACACCTGAATAAGTCACATTTACTACGGATCTTACAAGGTATGGTTGCTAGCCTCGCTAACAAGTTGTCGGCCACGACCATGGGCGTGGATTTAGGGGGGGGGGGACCCGTCCCGTCCCCCTTAGAATCGGAAGGAGGATCGAATAAGTCTCTGACCCCCCCCCCCCCCATGAATATGATCGCCAGGACAGATTTTCATGTTTATATCCACACGAATGTCCCGTTATAAAGGCTATCTGACCACTGCCTTGGGTCTTGCCACAGTTACTGATATGTAGGTAGTCAATTTTACTATATCGTCGCCATATTACCCCTAGTTACAGCTTTCATCGAAATAACACTGGTAAACTGTCCGTAATTATTATTTTCATTTGGTTTGGTAATGAAATGTTCCAGGGTTCGTACGCCCCCCCCCCCCAAAAAAAAATGTTATGACAAATCCACGCCCTTGGCCACAACTACACTTGGTGTAAGCCGAATCACGGGTTTGTAAAAGTCGATTTGATAAATTGTATCGTGAGTATTTTGATTCACAATCATTGTATTTGCGATTGCATAAGAGTTTCTTACATTGTGTGATAATACGAGTCATAATAGCGGTCACATCATTGTGATTCATTGACTGTTCACCTTGACTCGATCGCCGGTGTTTTGATAATCTATAGAAGTTAATTTATTTATATTCGCTTGTTGTGAAAGATAGTTACAGCGATTTCGTCATAGCAATATTCTCTCTATATATAACCCACGTGCACGTCACGGAAAGGCTAAATTTTTGTTGGTTTTATTTCCCGCGTGTACACTATTTAAAGGGACGCCATTACTGTTTGTTTGGGTGATAGCTAACATTTTTGTTGGTTCACTGCCCAAGTTAAGTGTTTTCCTTATATACAGTTATCAATATAATATTAAATGCATTTGCAATTGTTTGTTCCACTTTATTTAAAATATGGCAATAAATTTACAGTCGGCAAATCTTGAACAGTTGAAATCATTACATTCAATTGGTGAAGGCAGGGCAAATAGAATAATAGCAATAAGACATCAACATGGACAAGTTACGATGGAACATCTAGTAGAGGTTACTGGACTTACTGCAACTCAGTGGCAGGACTGGTTGGATACTGGTATTATAACCTCTGATGACAAGACTGTACTCTATCCTCTTGAGGAGAAGGTGGAGGACAAAAGAATTGAAAAAATGATAGACAGGAAAATTGAAAATAGTTTTATTAAATTTCAGGACGTAGTAAGACAGATGGCCACTGATCTGCATAATGAATTCCGGGACTATTGTCGTACACCACCGCGTTCTTCCTTGCAGGATTATGGAGCTGTTGGCGGTGTGGGGGTTCAAGCTCTTGCAGCTCCCTTGCCGTCTACATCCACTCCCGTAATCACAGACCCTGTAATAGAAAACATCTTAAATACAATGCCGCCTGATGGTAGATACGGTTCGAGCAAGAATATAGATGTCCGCCCCAAATCAAAGAACTCTCAAGCTTAGGGTTCATTCCATGTTAAAAAAGAGCCTTTTTTTGAAGATAGGCCTACCTTAACATTAAATCAAGGTCCGCTTAGTGGTCATTCGTCGAAAGGTCACTCACCTCGACGATGCTTCACAGCTTCCAAAGACCATGAGTCTAGGCGGTCCAGACACCGACACCGTTCCACTAGTTCTAGTGAGGAATCCTACCCATTTTCAAAGAATAGATCTTTTCGGGACTGGTCATCTTCGGACTCTGATTCTGAAATAGAACAAGAAGAACAGCACCGCCACCATCGAGGGAGAAGCCCTAATCCGCCTAAAATGCTTCTGTTCTCAGGTGACGATAAGACCTCTTGGGAAGCATTCTATGCCCAATTTGAGCGTATATGCCATCGTTAATGGTCTAGCCGCAAAATGTTCGACAATATGTCTCAGAGGAACTGCTCTTGAATATGCTAATCGTCTTGGTATCCGGAAATACCGGACTCTGGTCAAGGACATGAGGCGTAGGTTCTCCAGTCGGGAGGCCCCGGTAACTTTCCGTGGGGAGCTTCAGTCCATTAGGCAAACTGACTCAGAGACTCTCGAAGGGTTTGCTCAAAGGGTAGAAAATTTACCTTGGATGGCTACTACATGACAAACAGAGATACCATTAATCAGATAGCTGTTAAAGCATTTATTTGTGACTGTAAGGAAAAAGAAGCTACAAAAACCACCATGGAGAAGTTCCCAAAGGCCGTAAAGTACATGAAGGCTTCTCTGGCCAACTTGAAGGCTATTTTGGGCAGAAAACTGTCTCCTATGCACACCGTCAAGTAGCCTTCGAGGAGTCAGACTTTGACATCCGTACAGCTTTTTCGCAACAGGGGGATATGACCATCATTAAAGAAGCCATTTTAAACATCCAAACATTACTTCAGCAAAATAATGCTCGCGCTCGTTCTCCCTCCCCACGCGATTTTTGGCCTTATAGTCCTCAGAGATCTTATCCGCAGGGTAATCGCGTTTGGCCAAGGCGTAATTCTCCAGATGCAGCTAACTCAAATGAAAGTCACCCAGAAGCTGCATCGCCTTTGCCTGCAGACTCAAAACCTAATCCATCTTTAAACTCCAAAGGACTAAGCTTTGGGTCAAAGATCCAGTCCTAACTGTCCCGAATGACCCCGCACAAGATTTTACTGACCCTTCCCCATTGCATTGCTTGAATCTCCAGGAATATCTTTGGTTATTCCATTCAATGTGTTTGAAAAGGATACAGAGGCAGTAGTGGACACCGCAGCAATGGTTACCATTTTGAGTTCTCATTGTTTTGGCCAGTATACATCTGGAAGGGACATACAATTAAAAGGTATAAATTCAGGTATTATGCATGGTAAATTGCTTTCTGATATTCCGGTCCGTATTGGCGATAACCTTTTTTTATATATAACTGCCTGTATAGCGCTAATACTTGATAATGTTATACTTGGTCTTGATTTCTCTGAGCAACATGAATGTGTTGTAAACTTGCGCAATTGTGCTGTGTCCATAGGGAATAATGTCATATCTGCAACCCTAAAACGCTCACCTGGGATACTAGTAAAGTCTGTAGGGTATAATGTTAAGAAAAACTACCGTATTCCACCTAATTCATCGACCATAGTTGATGGTGCTGGATTAGGGGTTTTGCATGTGGTCGAGCCTATTGCTCAACATTCAGCCTTTTTTATGTCCGCATCTTTGGTATCTGGTTCCATTGGACATGCTAGTATTCTTAATGACTCAAATGTTTGTGTCAGAATCAATGCGGAGGCCATTAAAGAAGTAATAAGTCAGGTTAATGAGGAATTTCAGGTACGGCCCTGCAGCATGGTCTCAGAGCCTATATTACCACCTAAAGTTCTAGATCACCTTCAAGATTTGTACAGACGATCAGTAGTCCACTTGCCTGGAAAATACCATAATGATTTAGCCTGCTTGTTATCAGAATATTTTGATGTGTTTGCTGCCCATTATTTTGATCTTGGTTGTCTGTCTACCATTCAGCACCATATAGATACACAACAGGAACCACCCGTCAAACAGAGAATGCGTCGAACACCCCTGGGGTTTCAGGAGGTAGAGGAACACCATCTTGAGAAATTGCTTAAAGCTGGTGTGATTGTGCCGTCAAAGTCGGATTGGAGCAGTCCTCCAGTCTTGGTTAGGAAGAAAGATGGGAGTTACCGCTACTGTATTGAATATAGAGCTCTTAATAAGCGAATTGTAAAAGATAATTTTCCATTACCCATCATTGAGGATTGTCTTGATTCACTTTAGAGAAATACCTTTTTCTGTACTCTTAATATGGCATCCGGATATTATCACATTGATTTGGATGAATCCTCCAGGGACAAGACAGTATTCATAACCCGCTATGGTTTGTTTGAACATGTTCGTATGGGATTCGGTCTTTGTAACGCACCGGCATGGTCTGGAAGGAGGTACTGGTGTATATGGATGATATCGTTGTGTTAGGTTGAAATATCACACAAACCTTGGAAAATTTGGAACATGTCTTTCAGCGGATTCGTCTGCGTAATCTTAAACTTAAGCCCCAAAAATGCTTTCTATTCCAGCAGGAAGTTGAGTTCTTGGGCAAGTTGGTTAACTCTTCGGGTGTTTCCATTGCTCCTGCAAAACATGAAGCAGTTACTAAATGACCAGTTCCTGAAAATAGAGATCAGCTAATGTCATTTCTGGGATTTGTGAATTATCACAGGGATCATGTTCCACATTTCGCAGCTCTTGCTGAAGATTTGTATGATCTTAACAACAGCATGGGTCCATACGAATGGATGGAAAAACATCAATTGGCATTTGACCATCTCAGAGATGCTGTGTTTTTTGGAGCTTGCCTCCATTTTCCAGCACCTGAAGGCTTATTTATCTTGGACACAGACGCCTCCGATAGCACTATTGGTGCAGAATTGACGCAAATACAGGATGGGCAGGATGTTCCAATTTGCTTTGCCTCCCACGTGCTTATCGAAACGCAAAGCAATTATTGTACTACGACATTATCTTCTAGGAAGAAAAATCCTTGTGCGCACTGACCATAACAGCTTGGTGGTTGACCAAGTTCAAACACATAGAAGGTCAGCTTGAGATACTTCATCGCAAGGGTCGGCTACATTCCAACGCTGATGCCTTGTCACGAATCTCATTACCTGGCCCAGTGTGCGATTGTTACGAAGATAAGAAAAAGGTAGAGGATTTACCGTGTGGTGGCTGGCAGTATTGCACCAGGATTCAACATCAGTGGGGCCGTTTCAATGAGGATGTTGATTATCTAGTTCCCTTGGCACAAGTGTTCCCACCCGCAGCTCACCATTTGGAACCCGCTTCCGGAATTTATGAAAAAGAGGTCAGGAAAGTTGCTGTTAGGGAGACTTGTACTAAAACATGGTGCCAGGCATATTCTGCCGCAGAACTTGTTGGCATGCAGCATGCGGATATGGAACTCTTGTAGGTAATCACTTGGCTGTCCACGGGTCCAACAGAATCCGAGCTCAAATTAAGTTCTCCGTTTGCTAGGGTTTTGTGGTCTTGTAGATCTCAGTTGGAATTTCATTTGGGGGTGCTTTATTATCGCTGGGAAACATTCACTGGGTATCATCTCTGTTTCGTTGTGCCCTCTGAAATAAGGAAAGAGGTACTTAGTTTCTGTCACGAACTCAAGTCAGCCGGTCATCTCGGAAACGAAAAGACCCTCAGTAAGATTCGGCAGTCATTTTACTGGCCTGGGATGACAACAGTTTGTAAGGCATAACTTCAAGTTGCCCCACATGCAATCTAAACAAAAAGACCAATAAGAAGGCCCGTGCACTGCTTACCTCCTATCATGCCGGTTTTCCCATGGAGCGGGTTAACTTGGATATCCTGGGCCCTTTCCAAACAAGTGAACAGGGAAATAAATATATTGTGGTTATGATAGACCAATTCTCTAAATGGATCGGGTTGGCGGCTCTTCCAGAACAATCCGCCAAACGTGTCGCTCATGAGTTTCTCGTTCATTTTATTGTGGCGTTTGGCTTTCATGTTGAAGTACACATTGATCCGGGCAGATACTTTGATGGGCCTTTATTCCAGGCATTCTGTGATCTGTTCGAAATTGCGAAGACCAGGACTACCCCGTATCACCCTTCTTCAAACGGGCAGGTTGAGCGTTGCAATCGGATTATCATGCAAATGATAAGGTGACATATTAATGGCAGAAATAAAGGTTGGGATAAGTAACTCCCCTTACTTGCAATGTCCTTGCACTCAATGGTGAGCCGCAACACTGGGTACACCGCCAACAAACTGATGCTGGGTAGGGAAGTTTTTCTACCATCTGATTTGATTTACGGGACTCCAAATGTTACTTCTAAAGTATCCTCCGATGTCTGGGTGCGGGATTTAGCTTCGTCACTTGCTGAGGTTCACAAATCCGCCCGGGGACATTTGAGGGTTAACCAAAAGAGAAAAAAATTCATACAGTCAGAGATTCCTGGATCACAAGTATGACATCGGAGATGTTTTCTATATAACCGATCTCAGCACCACGATTGGTCGGAGCAAGGAACTCCATTATCATTGGAAAGGTCCTTATATCGTTTCCAAGAGTTCACACCCTATCTATTGGATAAGGGGCAGGCACAAGGAGATGGTCATTCATCACGACCGGTTAAAGATCTGTAAGGATCGTGAATTTCCTATCTGGTTGCGCCGTCTACGACATCAAACTGGGGAAGCCGCATATGGGATACACCAAATTTTACAGTCTTTGGGCATGACTTCTATTAACATTCATCGACACTGCTTCATTGGCGACAGTAACGAACTAAGGAAATGGCAAGTCACTTTACCCAATGTTTTCTTTGGGATAACCAAAAAGTCTCTTCAGGATCCAACTAATAGGACAGCGCCGAAAACCATCAACCTGGAAAGGATCGTATTTGAATCCGACTCATCTTATCTCGCACAATCACCGAATGAGATATTTTCAGAAATGTACCTGTTCGCCTGCTCATGGAAATGTCTGTTGGCAATCATAAAAAACTGTACCCCATACAATAACGTTTGTTCGAGGGTTCACACAATTACTTGTGACTCTCCGCACCTTGGCCAAACTGTAAATAACTGTAAATAGTCCGTCATTTTTGCCAGTCGTTTTAGCACGTCTTCACGCGGAGGCTGTTGACTTTCTTCTGGCGGGAGGGGGGATTCCGCGCGAAATGTCTCGTGCTAGCTGGGTACCAAAATGTCCTCTCAATGTTATTGTGTGGGCCATTAAAATGTTTAGAATTCCTTCGATTTTAATCATTTTGTTATTTTTAGTCTATTCATCTGGTTTTTAAACAGTATCTAGCATTTTCTCTCAAGCTGACCGCAAAGTCTTTTGGATCGGGAGGAGTGTTGTGAGTGTCACGTGACTGCTGGCTGATAGTATCACGTGACCACTTGAATGAGTCACTTTTACTACGAATCTTACAAGGTACGGTCGCTAGCCACGCTAACAAGTTGTCGGCCACGACTACAATACCATACAATTGGCCTCAGACTATCAAATAATTGTAGTCTCTCTCATTTATATTGAAGGCCTACCAGGGCTATACTATATACCGGAAAACAACCGGAAAACACCATGTTATACTGAATACCGCTCCGAAATGTACATCGCGATATAATCGAGGAACGACCCGTCTATATTATATGTAAGTTTTTATTCTCTTTGTATATTTTTATGTGATTTTATTTTTATATTTGTTAAAGAGTTTTAAATTGAACAATTGGCATTACACAATACACCATACTGTGTAATTAATAAACCTTAAAGTTCAAACGATTTCATACTTGTTATATTTCTAGTTGCATTACGTCACGTTACCATTCATATTGTGAAATCAGTACACGCTTGAGCACGTGCTCACATACGTCGAATATTTAACCTCGGCTCTCTGCTTATATACTTTTCGTATTACATTTTCTATTTTATACAAGAAATATTGCACAAGTGAACAAATATTGCACAACAGTCTATAGATATATATACATTGTCCCATTTGCACAACGTCCACACAAGCGTTTTTTCCCCACCCCACCACTTTTGGAACATGGATAGGCCCCGCACCAGACGTCCACTCCATCAAACCACCACCAGGCTTTCATCAACCACCACCAGGCTTTCACCGACCATCACCAGGTTTTTACCGACCACCACCAGGATTCCACCAACCACCACCAGGATTCCACAAACCACCACCTGGATTCCGCTACCGGCACCAACCAAGTCGACAACCAAACCAGCACCAACCAAGTCGACAACCTATCCAGCACCAACCAAGTCGATAACAAACCAGCGCCAACCAAAACGACAGCCAAATCAGCGCCAACCAAAACGACAACCAAACCAGCGCCAGCCACCCCCAGAGAAAGCAGGTGTCGTGAAAGCCTTCTTTCAGGTCTTCCAATGCCTCCACCGCTTGACCATTATGGAGAGTCAGGAGAATGGAACACTAACCAGGATTTTAACTTGGAAGATCCAAGACCTGAACAAGTTTGTGTAGCCGGCCATGAAGACGCCTACCATAGCCACTACTATTGAGATATTGAACTTGATATGGGCGAAGGACGTCGCCTCATCCTTGTCGACACACTACCGAGCCATGCTAGTGGAGAAACTGGAGTACTTGAAGTCACGTCACTTTACCAAAGATGCTGTCGACACACTACCGAGCCATGCTAGTGGAGAAACTGGAGTACGTGAAGTCACGCCACTTTACCAAAGATGCTGTACAAGAAGTCCTACGGCAAGCGACTTCAGGATAATGTGAGTTCCATCGCCTCCTGTCCACGGTCTCGAAAACTGTCAAGCACCCTGACTCATCACCAATGCACATTACACACAACCTTCTCCGGGATACACCAAAACGAAACACACTCAACAAGAGAAAATTATCCCCTGGAGAAGGCACATACATTAACACTCCCTCGAAGCGTGCAGCTAGATCAACTAGTTCGCCCTGGGTTGTGTCTGGCTCACCTACTTTCTTGGGATCTATATTACCACTGAACGCGCTTGTCAACTGTCTGTCCCCTAGATCGCCTGTCATTCTTAACCTTAGAATCACCATTTAGATCTTCCACCGCATGTAGGCGATCACTCAACCTATCCCTAAATAGACCCCACAGCTACAAAGGTTAAGACGGGAAGGATTTATGGTACCTACCACCCGTCAAGGCAAAGACCCTGGTTATAGGATCCTCTAACCTGGCTAGAACACTACCAAACTTCAAGGGCAAAATAGAACTGAAAAGTAACGACGCCATGCACTGGAGCCCAGACACGGCCCGAGAGATCATCAACTGCTGGATGAGGACAGACAGTTGTCAATCTCGGCCCCCTAGACATGAATATTCTTGACAAAGGCCTTAAATTCATCCCAAAACCCACAATAACACCCATAGACCACTTCACCCAGGCAACCGATCGCTTCCAAAGAAACCTTTTTTCAGTAACAAACCCGGCAGAGGTAAAGAATTATTCACAGAAAAATCCACATGGAAACCACCTAAAAAGTCATTATCACCAACCATCCTTAAAACTTTCCACGAAATGAATACAGAAATATCGTCCATTCAAC